ATCCTCCTTCCACACTGCCCACTGGAATGCACGCTCTGTTTGCAGTGTTACTAAATCCACAGCTGTGCATGATCTTTTCATCAACATTGCTGTTATCTATCGTCCCCCTGGTTCCCCACTTCTCTTCCTTGACCACTTTGCTGCCTGGCTTCCTTACTTCCTCTCCTCTAACATTCCATCTGTAATTCTCGGGGACGTCAACATTCACATTTGTTACGGCACCCCCAGGCATAAAAGGGTTAAACCGCCATTTAGAGGATATTCCCTTTCCAGATACACAGGCAGCTACCAAAGACACCAATCTGCCGAACAGGAAACCATATGAATGCCATAAACAGCAGAACCGGAACCATATGAATGCCATAAACAGCCGAATAGGAAAAACCATACGAATAGGTTTACACTCCTAGCAGTCAGACTGGAACAGCATACAATAAATCACACCCAAGAACTAGACAAGGCTCCCTGTTGAGGGTCAAGCAGTGAACAGACAGAGCTGTGGGTTTATTGTTCTTATATACACATTCGTACACATTAGTACCACCCACAGGGTTTTGTAAAACAACCAATAAACACGTTCAATATACTCATACACTCCCACACAAAATCCTCCCCTCTGCCTGTGATACAATTACCTTACACAATGGGTTGATGTAATTATCACAGGCAGAGAAATACAGTTTTTCCACATTATTCATAACTTGAAATGTATGCATCACATTCACATATTCACTTACATTTTCAGAATCAGCATACTCCAAATATGTCAAAATCATCCAAATTGGTCCATTGGTTCAAAAGATAGATTGAAGTCCTTTGTGACCAAAGGAAGCATGGCTTTTCTGCCCAAAACCAGTTCCATAGAGTCTCCTATCCTGGAGATAATTGGGAAGTAATCCAATTATCTCCAAGGACAGAGGCAAAACTCCATTAAGCACATGGCAGTAAAAAGACAGTAAAATACAATCAAATACACAAGGTTACATTTATTACATAAAATACAGACATGCAACATATCCCCAGATAGCTTAGGTCTGAACGCACATTATTACTGAATGGCGTTTAGACCACACACATACAGTTCAATTGCCATGGAGCCAAAGTCTTTTATTACACGAATAGGCTCCATGGCATAGCTATCTGGGTTAAATGAGTTCATTCAGTAAATCCGAGAATCTACCCAACGCTAGGGCAGAAATACAGGAATAGACCTTTCTGCATATGAAAATAAAGTATTTAAATGCCGGTCCATAGTCAAAAGGCAGCAGGCAGGCAACCAGGCTCCTCCAATGCACAGTGACGAGATTGGTCTTGTCACACCATTAACCCACCCTTGGCCCCAACAGCCTCAAAACTACTTTCTATTACCTCCTCCCTTGGGCTATCACAGTGGGCTACTTCCCCCACCCATGTAGCGGGCAATACTCTAGACCTTATTTTCACTCATGAATGTACAGTCTAACATCTGCAACACTTCATTTCCTCTCTCAGATCATCATTTCCTATCATTTGCTCTCAATAGACGCCTCCCCCAACAACCTCAGCCTAACCCCCCTCAACTCAGAAGGAATCTGAGTTCTATAAACCTCCAGTAGCTGTCAGCTGGTATTGATTCGCAACTATTATCCATTCCTTCTTACTCATGTCCCTCACTGGCTATCTCCTTATATAACTCTACCCTCACCTCAGCCCTGGATGCTGCAGGCCCTCTCCAAATATGCACCTCGAGGAGGATACACCCCCAACCATGGCACAGTAAATCAACACGCTACCTACAGAGATGTTCCTGTTCTGATGAACACTGCAGGAGGAAGTCTCACACGAGTCAGACTTTCTACACTACAAATTCATTTTGCGTTCATATAGTGCAGCCCTTGCCAAACAGTCATACTTTTCTTCTCTTATTAGCTCATGCTCTCGCAATCCCAGGTGTCTCTTTGATACCTTTAACTCTCTTCTTTGCCCTGCTGCAGCAACCCCCCAAAGTAATCTTACAGCTGATAGTTTTGCATGCTACTTCACTGAGAAGATTGAACAGCTAAGGAAAGAATTCTCACCACCTTGCCCCTCACTTTCTCAACCACACCTGGATCATTCCTCTCCAACCCTTCCGACCTTCTCCCAGGCTACTGAACAAGAGGTGGCTGCACTTATCCTTTCCACTTGCTTGCTTGATCCTGTCCCGCCTAACCTTATCAGATCTCTCTCCTCTTGTTCTGTGCCCTCCTTAACACACATCTTCAACTGCTCTCTTTCATCTGGCACTGCCCCTGCTGTCCTTAAACATGTAGTACCCATCTTGTACATGTCTTGACCCATTCACTCCTTCTTACTATCGTCCTATATCCCTGCTCCCTTTTTCCTCAACGCTTCTTGAAAGACTAGTCTTTACCCATCTGGCCTGCTTCCTCAACTCCAACTCTCTCCTTGACCCTCTTCAGTCCTGCTTCTGCCCCCTCCACTCTACTGAGACTGCCATTATTAAAGTCACTAACAACATTATCACAGCTAAATCCAAAGGTCAATACTCCATACTAATTCTTCTTGACCTCTCTGCTGCCTTTGACACCGTTGATCATGTTCTCCTTCTCCAAACTCTTCAATCACTCGGTCTCAGTGACTCTGTCTTCTCATGGTTTTCCTCCTATGCTCATTCAGTGTCTCCTTTTCTAATGATACCTCCACCCTTTATCCTGTCTCAGTTGGAGTCCCCCAAGGCTCTGTCCTCAGTCCCCTTCTATTTTCTCTTTGCACTGCCTCTCTTGGCAAACTTATTACCTAATTTGGATTCCAATACCACCTGTACGCTGATGACACCTAGATATATCTCTCCTCCCCAGACCGCTCCCCTGATGTCCTGCATGGTGTCACCTCTTGCCTTTCTTCTATCTCTGATTGGATGTCCTCCTGCTTTCTGAAACTCAATCTTTACAAAACAGAACTTCTTGTCTTTCCTCCTCCTAATATTAATCGTCCTCTCTCATTCCCCTTCAGATTGTTGGTACCCATATCAGCCCCTCCATGCAAGCACATTGTCTTGGTGTTACTTTTAATTCTGGCCTCACCTTTGAGCCTCACATCCGGTCTGTTGTCAAAACTTACCAATTCCACCTTAAAAACATCGCCCGCATCCGCCCCTTTCTTACACAAGATGCTACTAAAGAGCTTGTCCATACTCTAGTAATCTCTCGCATGGACTACTGTAACTCTCTCCTAATTGGTCTTCCCAATAGCCATACTGCCCCACTACAATCTGTAATGAATGCTGCCGCCAGACTGATTTTCCTCTCTAGTTGGTCCTCTCACACCTCACCCCTCTGCCAGTCCATACATTGGCTCCCTGTATCCTATAGGAGTCAATTCAAAGTGCTAAGCCATACCTATAAAGCACTGAACAATTCTAACCCCTCTTATATCTCCTCACAGATCCAAAGGTACGCCCCTTCTTGAATAGCCTGCCTACTGCCATCAGACTCTCCCCTAATCTTCAATCATTGGGCATAATCATTGTGCATAAGCTTTCCTAAAACCCATTTCTTTAGGAAAGCTTATGGCCTCCCAGAG